CTACTACTAAACGTTGAAATTTTGCACCTGTGTTTGACATGCCTCTAAAACAAAATGTGAACGATATACATTGTCTGTACAGTTATCTAGTAGTTTTAATAAACACTTACCAATAATTAATCAAAATTCCGACCAATAAATGCACTGAAACTACTTAAAGTCTTAACGATTTTTGTGAGAACACCAACACACATTCAATTCGGATCACTTGTCCGCCAAAACAGTCGTTACATTGGAAAAATATTGAGTGAATCGGTGAAAGCTTCTAAACAGAATTCACATGTATTCTGTTGTGATCAATATTTGTTTCCTCATGTTTTCAAAAAATAAAATTATGCAGAAGTGTCATACATGAATGGGACAGTGCCAAAGACTGGTTTTAGAACATTTACCTTATGTTACTTACGTCCGGCTGCAGCGATTTTGCTTTAAGTTGCTTTGTATGCTGTGTTTGCTTCAAGTGCTGTGCAAAAAGATATTCAAATTGTTTAGGCAACCTTTCCATTTTTCCTCTCGAGTCTCAATTCCTGATTTAGAACTATATATTTGATGATTATTTTTTATTTAATTACTTATTTTTTAGTAAACCTTCCCTAGCAGCCATTAAATAGAGACGTTTAATAGACGCCCTGGGTGTTCATACTATGCTACATGTTTTCTTTATGATACCAAATGATGGGATGAATAAGTGGTGTTATGCGACACGTCTGTCCATAACAGTTGCAGTGCCACTGCGCCCGTCACCCTGAGGCATAAATTGACAAGTCTCATGTGCCTGTAATTTCACCAGCACCCTTACCCTTCAAAGCCGGAATGCAGTAATGCTCAAATTACTGTTTGGCGATAGAAACAGGTAAGATGGCAGTATTTCCATTGTTGATGGATCTTTCCTAAGTTGCTTTACTGCTCCATGATCTTACTTATATTCGAGAATTTTGTGAATGTTCTATTTAGCATAATCGCAGCTTTCAAGAACTGTGGATCAACCTAAACTTGACAATTTTTTCTATAGAAAAGATTCCAATAATATCATTGGTTAAATAATTACATGACAACATCGGGATGGTCTACGATTGGTCAACTTTGAGCAGCAGACATTTTCAGTTCTTTTTTTAAGCCATCTCTCTGATGAATTAGATGCTTTTGAGATAGGCCACTGTTCTAGAAATCTATCGATATGTCTATGCAATAAAATGACTACAGAATCCTAATAACCACTCATAAAATTGGAATACTTGACATGGATGCTTTATTGGCTTACCGTTGTCGTTATAATAGAACTTAATAAAATGAAATGAATACAATTACAACCCATCTTTATTAAACGCCGAGTTATAATTAGGAATACAATTGTAATAGTTAAATGTGCAAAATTAATACACGAAACATAATTACGTTATTATAATTGCCTTATTAGAACTAACAAGCTATACATGGGTATAATTCTATGTATTATATAGATAATACAAAGAATTAGTCCATTCTCCTCTTACTGCGACTAACAAGGCTTGTGTTAATACTAATAAATGTGAGGCGAAAATGTTATTTTGCAAACTAGATTTTTTTACATTAATCGAAAGTCTCTATTTAGTCTGAGAAAGGGTTTCATTTTATACATTGCCCACCTAGTCGTTGATTTTATAGTTTTTTTATGATACCAAGTTTAGTAGCAGTAGAGCTCCTTGTAAAAGAGTCGTCCAGGGAAGTACAGCCACTTACCTATTTGTGCTGCCAAGCTGTAATGTGTGCATTATTTCATTCCGGTTTTGAAGGTCAAGGGTGCTGGTGATATTACAAGCAAATGGGTTTTGTCAACTTATGTCTCAAAGTGACAGGTGCAGCGGCAAAGCCCTTCAGATCTTTGTGATTTAAAACTCTGAGTGGCACTGCAATTTTTATGGACAGGCGTGTCGCTTACCACCAGACATACGACTTGTTAGTCCCGTCACTTGGTATCATAAAAAAAGTACGCCTAACAAAATTTCAGATGAAGAGGACCTATGATTTTCTTACTACCGTTTTTCAATCTCCACAGATCATGCGTACCGAGTTTCTCTCGACTGTGTTGCTATGTCCATGTAACCAAAAACACTTGACTGTTGTTTTAGTAGGTTTTTTAATAAGTATATTTTATTGAAGTGCCTTAAGAGTCTATACAACCTCAAATAAATAAATAATAAATAAATAACGCACACACTCAACATAGCCCCGCACTAGGGAAACCCTGTGTCGCGGGTGCCATGGACACATACTTAGACAACCACAAATTACACCCAAACTCACGAGAGAAATAACTGTAGGCCATACAACTATTTCTCTCGGCCCGGGAATCGAACCTGGGACCTCTGCGTGGCAGTCCGGCATGGTAACCGTTCGGCCACAGAGGCAGTTAAAAATGGTTTTCGTTCATTCCGCATTACAGTGAAATTGTTAAATCAGTCCCTTTGAAAAAAATATATGTATAGTAACATTGAGGATAATTACATACACTAATTACTATACGATGTGAAAACGCTATTCCTAAAACTTTCACTTTAGACAAAAAACACAAACTTACCCCGAAAATTTACAAGACAACCGCTGTATTCAATAGGTACTTTTCATATGATGATTTTTTATACCAACTGAACTAAATAGAACCGTTTCAGAACTATATACTATTTGTTTGTAGAAAAATAAATTATGAAATAATGCCATGATCCCTGCCGCCCGACCCAAGCAAAATGAACCGTATTAGTACCATAGTAGTGTCGACTCTGAACCTCAAACAAAAATGCCGAAATATTGAGATTTAATATCTAGGCCCGAAATGAAAGTCCTCATTATCAACTCATTTATACGTCCTACAGCTGGGCACAGGTGTCCTTTTACAGGTGTCACACCGGCCCAATGCGGGTTGGGGACCTCACATGTTTTCCCAGGGTTTTGAAATCAACAAATCAACTTATTATTGAATATCGTCAGGAAAATCTTTTTAAAAATATCCCGTGTGCAGCGCGACATAACTGTCACATGAACTGTCACTCCTCCCGCACCGCGCAGCTACCCCAGGAACCGACTCGGTTAAGCGGTAGGGTTTGATCGTTTCACCTCTCCACCAGTCGTTTGAGGTGTGGGCAGCCGCGTGTAGACAGACTCCCCACGTACGCATTTCAGTTTACATACAAATTTTCTTATTGTGTTATTTTATCTCATTATTGTGTTTGTGAAATACCGAGCAATAAATTATCCATTAAAGTTTTCTTCAAATCCAAACTGCATTTTTGAAAACAATATTTAAAAAGTAATTACAATATTTGAAAATGGAACTCTTTGGCTGTAGAACACAGTTTGTTTCATCTGACTGTCACTTGTTTTTACATTGTGGCGTCATTTTAGAAATTATTGCCTACATCACCATGGATTTAACTCGTGAAAATTTTCGTAGTATGATTTTCTACGACTTATATTATATAGTGTAATTTAACAGCTCAACGGAGCTTCGCTCGGCTTCAAACTGCTTTTGGCGATGAAGCACCATGCAAGACGACTATTTATAGCTGGTTTGCAGAATTCAAACGCAGTTGTGTGAATCTCAGTGACGAATGTCGTGATGATCGCCCGTCCACTGCTGTGAACAACAAAAACATCGATGCTGTGCGCTGTATGTTCTAAACAGACACGCATGTGACATACCACGAGATTCGGGCATCTTTAGGCATAGGCATGAGTCGAATACAATCAATACTACACAAACATTTGGGTGTGAAAAAGCTGTGCTCTCGGTAGATTCCACACAATTTGACTGAGGCTCAAAAAACGGATCGCGTCACTTGGTGCAACACCATGCTTACCAGATTCACCGAAGGGGCGTCAAATTTGGTGTGGAACATAATAACAGGTGACGAAACATGGATTTATAGTAACGATCCCAAAACAAGGCAGCAATCCCGCGTATGGGTCTTTCAAGTTGAGCCGAAACCAAACAAAGTGGCGCCTGTGCAAAGTGCCTCTAAGCGGATGTTTGCTTCTTTTTTTAATAAAACTGGACACGTGGCTACTGTTGCTTAGGAGAATCGTTGTATCGTGAATAGTGATTGGTACACGACCATTTGTTTGCCGGTGTAACCGTAAACGCCGTATCATTTTGTACCACGAAAATGCCAGTTCTCACACCGCCACACAGATAAATGAATTTTTGGACGTGAACAACGTTGACCTTATGAGCCATCCCGCGTAAAGTCCCGACCTAGCACCTTGTAACTTTTATTTATTTCCAAAAATTAAGAACCAGTTACGCGGTCAACGATTTTCATCACCTGAAGAGGCAGTCGAAGAGTATGAAAAATAGAGATTGTCACGAAGGAGTGGCATAAATGTTTTCAAAATTGGTTTATATCGTATGAAAAAGTGCATTAACGGTAACGGAGAATATTTTGAGAAACAATAAATGCAACAAAGCATTTTTTCTTATTCATTCCGGAAACTTATAGTGCGCCGCACGTATTTATATACATATAGTAAAAGTTCGGAAGATATTGTAACACTGTATAAAAGTAGTAAAATAAAATGTGTTTGTTTTATTAGAATAAAGTCCTTCGGTCGACTAGAAGGTCCGGAGCACTCCATTCTTATGTCGTTGATATTCCACCTAGTAACACTAAGCGCTTTGCTTCCTCCTTTCTGATGCGAAAGGCAAAGGAATGGAATGCTCTAATCAGTATTTCCCGAAAAGTACAATTTGGGGCCATTCAAGCCTAGAGTGAATAGGCACTTTTTAGGCAAACGCGTCCCATCGTCGGCCACATCGTCGCTTAACGTCAGGTAAGATTGAGGCCAAACGTGTGTCTTAATAGACACACGTTTACGATATTTAAAAAAAGCAGTTTCAAGTCGAATAAAGAAATATACGTTTTATTGTAAAAATGTTTTTGTTTCGTGGGATTATTATTTATTACTGTATAACTAAAACCATTTAGCGTTATATACAGGAATCACTCAGTAAATGTAATCTCGAAGAATCACCCACAAACAAATAGTAAGCACACCCCACCACCACCGCCACCACCACCCCAACCATTGTTATTGTTGTTATTATTATTATTGTTATTACCACCCCAACCATTGTTGTTGTTGTTGTTGTTGTTATTGTTATTGGAGCCGCCGCCACCGCCACCGCATCCAAAGAAACATCCGAGCAAACCGAACGTAAGTTTTTTAGGGTTTGCGGAGTTGGCCTTAGTTGTATACATAAATGTGGCGTAACAATTTGTTTGACACGTTCTAGAGAACCAACACTTAACAGCTTGCTGAATGCGGGGATCTATGCACAAGATATCGTAAACTGCTTCGCAGGCTTTCGTGCACCTTTCTACGACTCGACATATATCATTGGGATAATAAGGGTAGTAGCAGCCACAAGCGGCGCAGTCTTCTTCGCTGTTAGGATAATACACTCTATTTGAACCAGCTGCACCAATTGCACCACCTGCACTTTTTGGAGACATTTTGTCGTCGTCTGGACACTGAAAAATTGTTAATAATTAAGTCCTATAATAGCATATGTATGTTCAAGTTCAAATAATTGTACTAGCGGTGGTAGCTCAATGGGACAACGGTTGTTTCTCAAATGAGAGGTCGGCGGTTGGAGTCTTGTAAACGTTTGTGAAAGTTTGTAGCAATGTGTCTCGCTAAAGATGTGGACAACACTGTGATGAAACCTGCACGTCGAAAAGGTTCACAGCTCCTAGGAAACTTGTGAAATAATTAACCCGCTTTGGACCAAAGCGTGCTGGTTTATTATCTAAACTCCTCGTTACTTGCATTTTCCAATAAGCGCCTAGTTGCGGGTGCGATTCCTATTTATTTAAGCAATATACTCAATAGCCGCGTACTGACGGAATAGTCTCCTAAGGCTGCCGACCGAGGAAAAGCCGACCGAACATTTGCCTCTCGAGTACTTGCTCTAGTTTTGTTAAAAACTCGAGTCCGGGAGTCTAAATGTTTGGACTCGACTTCAGTTCACATAACTCAACTCATAAAGACAGAGACTCCACTGCTCGATGTACCATGAGCCTATTGAGTTTCCGAATAGACTCGAATTCGACGTTAATGCTCGAGTCTATTTATGCAACGAGTCAAGCTCCAGTTTGGTAAGTACCTACTGAGCGGTGTAGTAATAAATAATTAAGTATTGATATCTTCTTTTTTTTAATCACCATTTTGAGTGTTTTGTTTTTTATTTAACTTGTGGTCAATAGGTAGCGTCTCAGTAAGATGGAACCCTGCTTGTCGTATTCGAAACATTGCAAAAATTAGATATAAAATAAATTATTTCCAAATACTAAAAATACTGCAATAAGTGAATTCACAAAATAAATCTAGTAAAATATGGTTAAATCGCAAACATTTAGTTTTTTTATACTTTGCACAAGTTTATGCGAAATATACGTTCAGATTTTTCGAGCCTAAAAACTTTTTGCTTAATCTTGATGTAAAAAATCCATAGGGCGATAATGCAATAAAAGGCCAAATTTAGGACATTACGGTCTTTTTGCCTGCATGTCATGGCAATGTTTACGAGCAAGTATGATGAAAAGGTTTTTGATATTTCTTATATTTATTTATGGAATAATCATCTGGATGCACTTATTTATTACACTTTCGTTTCCACATTTATAAGTAAAATTTTATTAATTTATAAGTAAAGTTAAAAATACAGGCATAATAAATAGGGATAAAAAAAATTAAACCTCTGATTTTTTCTGGTTACAAAATAGTCTGACTTACGTCCAAATCCTGCGTTTTTACTCTAAGTTGATTCATATCTTGCGAGTCGAGGAGGTCTGTTAGCTCCGAGAACTGAAAAAAAAGTTGTTTAATTTTTCTGATTTCTGAATTCGAATATAACTAATTATATAAATATTTAAATATTACTTATATAACTCAACGATTCATAAGAACATACCGATATCGAGTATGCCGCCAGGCGGTAATGTGAGCATTACTGCGGTCCTATTGTGGAGGGTAATGAGGGTGCTGTTCAAATGGCAGGCACATGGGACTTGTCAACTTATGTGTCGGGGTGACGGGCGTAGTGACAATGCACCTCAGATCTTTTAGATTAAAGCTTTGACTGGCACTGGAATTGCTATGGACAGGCGTGTTCCTAGACCAGGCGCACGACTCGTTCGTCCCGTTACTTCGTATTATAAAAAAGACAAACTTACCGATGCCGTCATAACAATTGTAATAGTACTCATCAAAAAGTAATTGAAACCATATAAACCCATTTTTATTAAAAACATTATAAAAACTAAACTCAAATTAAGCTAAATCCAAATTAATTAAACGTGTAAAGTTATTTAACACGCTTGTACTGCAAATCTGGAAAACTAAATTAAACAAGGATATAACCTGATAGATTATTGCCTCATTAAAAATAACAAGACTGAGATTGTTTAACACGAAATAAAACATAAATACTTTTAAAATACTGTATTATGGCCAAAGAAAAATTTACATTAGGTAAGTAGGTACTTGAAATTATAGTGAAATTATTTTATTATAGTGGCCGCCATAGCCGAGCCTCCCTGCCCCGCGCTTCCTTATCCCCGTTGTATGGCGGCTTGGACATACTCCGGGCCTTGAAGACCCCCGTGTGGTACAGCTTGCAAGGGGCAGATCCTGTTCAGTGCCCGCCTAATTGTTCCTCTGGACATGGCTATGTCAGCTACTCGAGTGATGCCAAAGGTACAGCTTGCTGACCCGACCCATTCGCCAGTGTAACGGTTGTAGGCTCTCGTTCTTGATGAGGACCAGCTCGTTAAGCTGTAAGTCCCGGTGTCTTTCTCGCCATTTATAGCGCTGTTGGAGCTCGGATACAATCTATTGTCCACTGCGTCCAGAAATGTTGACGTATTTGCTTGAGTCTTCTGTAGCGGTCCAGCCGGTTGGGGTAGGCCTCGTGCAGTGGTGAGGCTGACAGCAACGTCAAAGGCCTGCCAACCAGAAAGTGCCCTAGCGTGAGCGAGGAACAGTCATTGGGACAGGGGTGTTGCCAACGACAAACCGGCGCGAGCCGAAGCTAGCCGATGACGGCGGGGTAGAGCCACGGGGGGCGCGTGCGGCGCACTAATGGGAGAGATCGAATTGCGAGCTTCACTCGAACGAACGTTATTTTCTTCCCAAACTTTGTATATTTTCAACTTGCCAATTACACATGATTAAGTGCATAATTTGTGTCTTCGAGCAGGATCGTAAATATTCCTTGTACCAGTGAAGATGGTTAACATACGTAGCACTATAAGACGAGAACAGGAAAAGAAAGTAGAAGAAAAGGAGCTTCTAAATCAGCAACCACAAACGTCTATAAAAGATGAAGAACAAAAGAAAGAGCTAGGCAAGACTATACATTTAAATGTGGGTAGTGTTAAAAAATTACAATAAAGAAAAAACGAAGAACCACAACCTCATTCTTCACGCAACACTGCCTATTCGGAAACAAAAATGTCCTTTTCATCAAAGTCGTCTTCATCTTCTATAGTAGCACGGCGGAAGAAGCTGGAGCTAGAAGCAGCTGAAGCAAGAGCTCGCATTCAAATGGACTTGATAGACAAAAGGCTACAGACGGATCTTGCCGAACTGTAAGGTTACAGTCCACCTACAGAACTGGATCAAGAATCCATCAAAAGTGATATTGCAAGGTGGGTCGAGCACAGCCAACAGGTACTGGCATCACAGCATGCCTCCGAGACTGTAAGCAGACAGGGCCCGCTGTGTCCACCGGCATTAGTAGCAGCCGGAACCGAGGTGCCAGTCCAGCAATTAGCCAGCGCACTGAAAGAATTAGCTACCGCCTCTGTATACACAACAATAGTCAAAATGCGGCGTTGTTAAGCCGCATCAGCACGCCGAGGGAACGGCCTTTATTCTTCGGTGAGCCAATGTAATGGCTACAATTAAAACAGGCTTTTGAAGAATCAACAAGGGCGTGTAGTTTCAGTGATAACGAAAATATGTGGCGATTAAGAAAATGACTCTGTGGACCCGCCAGAGAATCCGTCAACGCTCTTCTCATGAGTGGAACGTCACCACAAATTCTGATGTCAAACACTAGAGTTACAATATGGCAACCCGGAATTAATAGTTTCTAGAATGCTAACGGAAATAAAAAAACTACACGCTCTGCCACCGGATTACCACAAAGAAATTGTGCCGTTTGCTGTTAAAATAAAAAACTACGTTACAGCTGTTCGTGTCCTGAGTCGTGAAGAATACTTACAAGAAGTCAATACTGTCGCCATCATGTTGTCTAAGTTACCCACTGTGTTGCTATCCAAATGGACAAATTACAGTTACGTACTAATAAAATACGCCACTAAACCTAAACTGGAAATTCTCGCCGAATTTCTTCAGGAAGAAGCTGTAAAAGTGTCAACATGCAGTGCGTCTCTTATCCAAGTAAAGTACGACCAGACTATAAACGTAGAAACTATGAGAACAGTGACTATAAACCACAAACTGTATTAGTGCAACGTGGACAGAATAACGAAAAATGTCGCTATTGTCATGTAGGAAAACATAATTTAACACAGTGCAAAAAGTTTAAAAAATCACTACGTAAGGACCGTTGGCAACAACGACAAGTGTTGTTTTGTCTTCGGTCTAGGACTATTGAGAGAAAAACGCCTGCATTGGAGCATAGCAAAATAATTGATTATTTTTTTTTTTAAATTGCGCATAAAATTTATGCGCTGCTTATAAAATAAATCTTCATGTGTGTGTGTGTTTAGTGTATGTGATAAATTGGTGCAAGTCACACGCTTGTTCTATTGGAGCGGAGTAAGCAAAAATTCGGTCCAATCTTAGTCCAAGTTGATCAACCAATCATATAGCAATTTTTTGACAGAGTATATAGGAATGTGTTTGTTAATTTTATAAATAGCTACCAAGAATGCTAAAGTTCGTGGATGGGATGAGAGTATACATGCGATTTTTAGTACCTATTAATGTTTCTAGTATAAATTCACTCTTGTTGAAGGTGACATTATTTAATTTATCTAGGTGGCAAAGAGTGGAGGCTGGGGTGGCCTAAGTGGTGAAGATGGCAAAGATGGTGGTGATGGAAAAAGTATACAAAAATTGACAGTCCGTAAAGAAATGGCTCAAGTTTGACAGCGTTTAGTGGCATGGCAAAAATATCCAGCTACCATTACATCTCCTTTTCATGATAGATTTAATATTCATACGTTATGTTCCAATGAATATTTTACCTGTATTTAGTAGCAATACTAACCGCTAACGGTGAAAGAAAATATCGTGATAAAACCTGCAAGCCGAAGGTTTCCAAACCTTGGATAACTTGTAAAGTATCCAACACGCATTGGGCCATGGCGAACCATCTTGACAGTGGATCGTCTAATGGTAGGAAGGGCCCCCGCAAGTTGCTCGTATTGAGAGTAAAATTTTTGAATTCATTTATGTGGCCCTGGAGGCGGCGGAGGGGATTGGATTGTAAGCATTGGAAAAATATTTAAAAAATATACGAAAATTACAATGTTACATTTGTTAGCGTTTAGTAGCAATACCTCCCGCTAACGGTGAAAGAAAATATCGTGATCAAACATGCAAGTTGAAGGTTTACAATTATTGGATGTGAAGTACCCAATCTAAATTGGGCCAGCGTAGCGCCTTTTAAGAGGCAATCCATCCTAGTAGTGTGTTGTATAATGGTTTTGAAGACGTTTCTGTAAATTGCTCGTGTTAGAGTAACTACTGTGTAATCAATACGGAAATTTAGAATATAAATTGGAACGATCTATTACAACAAAAACAAATGCTGATGAGGAAAGTGTCAACCTTCTACATAGTTTAATATTCTATTATAAAAAAACATATCCCCATTAATGTTATTAAGACTACTCAGTATCCACAATGGTTCACGCCAACCCTTGTACACATATTTAAAAACAAAACGAATAGTTGGATAAAATGGAAAAACTACCAAAATAAATCGGATTATGAACTTTTTAGTATTTATAGAAAGAGATTTAAATCTGAGTCTAATTTGTGTTACAGGAAATATATGAATAAGGTTGAAGACAGTATACATGATAATATTAAGTACTTCTGGACATACATTAATAATAGAAATAATAACGTGGACTTACCCAACTGGGTTTCATATAAAAATAAGATAGCAAAAGATCCTGTGGACATCTGCAATCTATTCTCAGCGTTTTTCCAATCGATATTCGAACCCTCGAGTGTGGATAGTGATTGTGATATAAATAACATTCCGGGTACTAATGCCAATTCTGATTTATGAATCAGCAGTATACAAACACCTTACGAGACTATATTTAAGGAGCTACAAACACTTGATACTACAAAATGACCTGGATTGGATGGAATCCCTTCGCTATTTTTTAGGTCCACAGCCTTGTCAATTTATCACCCTTTGCATTACCTTCCTTCCTTCCTTCCTTTTTAATAGATGTTTACATGAAGGAATATTTCCAACGGTCTGGAAATCTGCCCGTATAGTACCGGTGCATAAAGGTGGATCCAAAACCGATGTGGAGAACTACTGCTCCATATCTATATTACCTACTCTGTCAAAGCTTTTCTAGAGATTAGTTCATAATATCATATATCCGTGCTTACACAACACCATTATTGAAAAACAACATGGTTTTATAAGAAAACGCTCTACTGCTACCAACTTACTGTCATATACAACTTATCTATTTGAAGGGTTAGATAAAAATAGGCAAATAGACAGTATTTATATTGACTTTCGGAAAGCTTTTGACAGACTGGACCACAAAATTCTTCTCGCGATACTCGCCTATAACGGTATTCGAGGCAATCTATTGCGCTGGTTTAAATCCTATGTAGAACACCGTACACAAAGGGTGGTTATCAAAGGATTTGAGTCTGGTCTTGTTGTGATGGCAAGGCAAGGCAAATAGGCTGTCTATACATGGCCATTGTATTGCTGGCTTTATAAAATAAGAATTAGAATAGTAGTTAGAGTTGTCAGTGGGAAAAAATCGGAAACGAGTGGATAATTTTGTTTCTAGGAACTGAGAATGTCTGGTAAATGAGTCTTGTTTAATCTAAATCGTGTATAAAATTATTTACCAATAAACCTACTAATGGAACTGCAATATCATGTAATCTAGTTACATTCAAAGTTATGTTAAAATTTGACTCTTTAAAATGAACCGAATAAATG